AACAATTAGGCATGAAAGTATGGTATGTAAAATACAACTGCTTCTGATTTTATTAAATCCTTTTACGGTTGAAGGAGATCCATGTGACTTACTTAAACATTAAAATAATGGATTTAGTTTGCTCTGTAAGCACTGTAGGCTTTTAAGGCTTTTAAGAAGGGTTTTAGGATCATTGAATTGCCATATGATGTTCCGCCTAGAAGGCATTAAGGATTGAGATTTCTAGTATCACTAGAAACCCAAAACATATCTTAATTTTACACTTATTGATGGACTTCACTTCTGTGCTTTATTATTAGCAAGATTTCAGGACATCAAATAACAGCTTTAGAGCACCAAATGCAGAAAATACAGGATTCACTTGTTTTCTGACTTATGTCTGAACAGCACTGAATAAAGAGTTTCTAAGATGAACCTCATGTGATCTGTACCACTTTCCCTGTAACTGTTATATGAAATAAATAAGCTGAAATAATGATTATTTTTGGAATTGTTTTTCTAAAACAGTACAACTTTTTTTCAGCCTAAAGAGGAACTACGACACACACTAATAGATACTATGAAAAATAATGAAAGCCTTTTCAAGTCTGAGAATGGTAAGTTTGAGTACTCTATTCTAGTTAAATGTTTGACTTAACAGGCAACACAAGCTGTGTACAGAACACAAACTATTTGTGTTGATATTAAATTTTATTTCATAGAAAATTTTCTGTGATAATTTTGTACTTAATTGTCTTTGAAAACAATCTTGACTAACCAAATACTTTTCAATAGTGGGCATGTTAAAATGATTGGAGATGCTCTTGTATTCAAACTTTCTACTTAAACTTTATCAAAGCTATTTCAGCCTGATAATCAAAGAGTAAATAAAAACATTCTTGTGAGCTACAAATCAATGCTTCTTTGACACAGACTCCTTCACTACCAGAAGCATGGTTGTGTTTTGGCATCGTGTCAATTAAAGGTTCTAAATATTCTAGTTTTTGAAGTAAAGTAGCCATAAATATTCCCATTCAGTATAACATAACCTGACAAGTATTTGAACCCAAAAACTAAAATATTTGTTCAGAGCTGCTGCACTTGGAACGTAAGAGAATGACTTCTCAGGATGTGTACTTAGTTTTGAGGTTGCAGGTTCTCAAAGGTGACTAAAATTATTAGTAATTTAAATTGTTGTGGCTCAGTCTCAATGCTTACTTAACTTTCATTCTCATGTAAAGCTCTAAAATTTCAGGATCTCTCTAAAACATTCTCTTTAGTTGTAACTAATCACAACTGTACTTTTTTCTGTATTTTATTTTTAGGGAGAACTATGATAGAAGCTCATTTAAGTGAGTTAGTGGAAGTCAGCAAGGAACCAAATTCATCCATAGAGCCAGTTCAGGAAACCTTCAAGGATTTCTGCTCTGATGATATCCAAAAAGCAGAGAGTGATAACAAGAAGGCAGAGGCAAGCAGTGAAGCTGTCCAGAAAGAAGAAACTGATTTAGATTTAAAACCAAGGGAACAGATCTTGCCAAAAAAGAATAAAAAGCACAAGGGTAAAGAACGTTCAAAAAAGAAAGCGAAATGCGAAACAGAACGGCGTGAGGATGGGATAAAAGATATGGCCCAAGCAGTTAATTCTCCTGAGAAGGCGAATGACACATCTTGTTCAATGAAAAACGATCCTCCTACCACACCATACTTGGAAAGGTAAGAGTACTTCAGATAACTGTGGAAAGTCTGCAGTGTCTGGAGAAAAAATAATATTTGTGTCCTATTGAAACAGGGAGGTGTTGCATTTCTTAACACCTGCTTAAAAGCTCTCAAGAACTTTTATTTTTTGGATTGCTTCCTCTTCCTTCAGAAGGAAGTATTTTTAAATAAATTCCTCTATTTACTCAAACTGTTTTGCTTTGTGAATGCCTCACTACAGAGTAACCAGACTTTTGTGACAGAGACATAAATTCTGTGTTTGGGATGCCCTCCCACAGTCCACATCACAGTAGCAGGTCTACACTGAGCTAGGTAAAGAGAAAGCAGTTCTCTCCAGTCCTCTCCTTTTCAAATGCAGATATGATTGTATGTCATGCAACACAGAAATACTGAACAAGATGTAAGTGTCCCGTAGTGGTTATCTTGAGGCAAAAATCTGGGTAGTAACCTTCGTACAAACCAGATAATATTGACATTATTTTTTTTACCACAAGGTTTCTTCTAAGATAGCAGCCGTAGGAAAGTTGTGCTCAGCTTTGACATCTGATGAAGATGGAGACCTGGGAGCAGTCTGCTATCCCTCACAGCAGGAAGAGCAATTTGCCCTTGATGGAATAGGGAGGGATCTTCCTTTGGGAACTGTTTTCAGGAGATTCTCTGGTTTAAAATATTTTGCCCAAGAAAAGTTGTGTATCTAGTTCTAACTGTATGAATGGGAAAGGGCCTGTTTCCTTTGGTTGTGGGAATGGGAAAGAGTTGAATGTGAATCACAACTTGCTGTTTCTGCTAGATGCTACAAAGGTAACTTGTATGATGGTGTGCCTATATTTAATGATTTGTGATTTTTCTTTTTTTTTTTCTTTCTCAAAGCGTGAAGATGTCTTATGAGGCAAATTACTGCAGTGCTAAAGATCTGAAAATTGTAACCCCCTTGCGATATTCTCAACGCATTCGGGAGAAAATGTGCAAGCTATCTGATACTGGCAAAGATCAAGATCCATGTGTTTCTTCACTTGAACAGCTGGGAGAATTGGAATCCGAAGCCACTGTATTTATCCACAAAGAGAGCAATGCCTTCCAAGAAACAAATGCTGAAATAGAAGAGTAAAAAGTAGTGTTACTGCTATTCAGGGGTCAAAGATTTGATTTTAAGGAGAGTTGAGTGGGATTTGTTTTTAGCAGCTTTGAGAAAGGAGCTATCTACAACTGGATGGCTTAAGGTAAAATTTGACTGCCTGAGTCACTAAATAAACTTTTAAAGTTTCTGCCATTTCAAAATTGTAATAAATCTGCTCTGGTTTAGTACTAGATTGATGTCTGTGTTTAACTATGTTTCATTAAATATGAAATTAAGGATTAGGTGTAAAGCTTCATGTTGTAGTATATTGCTAATATCTACTGTTTTCCTGTTGCAGTTGCAGAACTCTAGGAACCTTTCAGTTTAACAAAATAAAAAGAAGTGTAGACATTCTAACAAGTCCCTATGTACTACAACATCTAGTTTTGAAAACTGAAGCCAGCTTGTAAGGTGTAGGCTAAATTTAAACTTTTATTTAGTTTTAGAGGTGTTTCAACAAAAAACATTTTAATCTCTTTAGTTACTGACATTGTTCATTATCAAGTAATCTTAGATAAGGTCTGATACACTACTTACTATGTGACTGTTTTAATGTTGGTTTGCATTAGTCTCTAATACAGTAGACATTAAACTCATCAACTGAGTTGCGTTTGTTCTTTATTTATAGGCTTTACACTGTAAACTATGTAGTCTATTCTTGAAAGTGAACTGTCAAAGCAGAACACTGAGATTTCCCACACTCGGCGCACTCGGTGTTTCCCTATTTCAGCCTGAGGGACAGCCCTCTGTGCCAGTGGCACCGCCTCAGGGGCGGGGGCTGGGCGTTCCGTCCCAGGCAGCTCCGTTCTCTTCCCCATCCTCCGCCCCCAGCCCAGTCCGTCGTGGCCTTGGAGCCGGCGCTGGGCTTGTGCCAGGGGCTCTGCTCGGGCCTCCGCCCGGCGGGATTGTGGCCCGCCCAGGTGAGTACCCTGAGGGGCTGGGGGCGAGCCTCGGGCTACGGGAGCTGTAGAAACAGCCCCCACGTGCTTTTCAGAAACAACTCACCAGGTTAAAACACTGTGTGTGCACAGTATGTGCATAAAGGGATGTTTGGAACGTGGATAACCAACTTAGAAACACCGGCGTTTGGGGAAAAAAGGAAGAATAGGTCGCTGCTGTGGGTGAAATGCTTGAGGAGAAGCATTTTTAGCAGAGAAGGGAAACGTGTGAGTTTGAGCAGTTGTGGGAGCTCTCTGGTGTTGTGGGATTAGGCTCCGTAGCAATGTCCTCTCCAGAGGGAGAGAGAGGACATGGCCCCAAACTGTGTCAGGGGAGGTTTGGGTTGGACAGCAAGAGGAATTTCTTCATGGAAGGAAGGGGATGTTAAACGTTGGAACAAGTTGCCCAGGGAGGTAGTGGAGTCACCATTCCTGGAGGCGTTCGAGAAGTGACTATATGTGGCACTTAGTGCCATGGTTGTCTGGTTGACAAGGTGGTCCTCAGACTTAAAGTTGGACTTGGTGATCTCAGGGGTCTTTTCCAACCTCAGCAATTCTGTGATACAGCTTACATGCAGCGATAGAGCAACTGGGAACAGTTCAGAGCTGATGAACCAGGGGAGTTTTACACTGGATGTTAGGGAACATTTCTTTGCTGAGAGGGTGGCCAAACACTGGAAGAGACTTCTTAGAGAGGTGGTCAGAGCCCCAAGCCTGTCAGTGATTAAGAGGTATTTGCACTATCCACTTACTAATATGATTTAACTTTTGGTCACCCCTGAAATGGTCAGGTAGTTGGACTAGGTCACCATTGCAGGTCCCTTCCAACTAAAATACTCCATATCTTCCAGTTGTTGAAGTTGTTGTGCAGTAACTTTTACCAGTTTGATCCTGCTTGTGGTGTTTTAGGTGAGAATTGTCACTGGAAGCTTGAGGCTTATGTTATTGTGCCTGGGAGTTTTCTTTAGTGTTACGAAACCACGTGCAGGTAACAAAAGGAAGATGAAAAGTTGTAGGTTTGTAATTTGCATTTTCAAAGAGCTTTAGCATTTGAAATGAAAAAATGCAGTGATAATGCTGTATGATGCTTTGAGTTGCACTTTCTAGAGGCCTCATTTTCAGTAAAATCCTGATAGCAGTGCGCAGAAGTGTTACATTAATGTTGGATGGTTGTAGGTACCCACATTTATCACTCATTATTTTGAGGGTTTTTTTGAAGAGAAGTCTTGGACCTGGGCCTGTAAAGAATGGAAGAATACAAAGTGTTGAAAGCACTAGGAGAGGGATCCTTTGGCAGAGTTCTCCTACTTCATCACAGAATCAGTGATCAGAAGTACGCGATGAAGGAAATAAGACTTCCCATGGTAAGTGTGACACATACACCACCTCACCCACTGCTTAAAAAAAAGTAAAATTTAAAAAAATAGTAATTGTGCATGTGTTTTTGAAACGCTGAACACTTTTGCTGCAAATTTTGTGTATTAGACAGTTGCATGGTATGGTAACTGTATAACTATGTCTGACTTGATGTTGTTGGTACTAAGTAAAGTAGGAAAATCCGATCCAATTCAGAAAGTGCATAGTTACATTTTGGGAAGTGCAGCACATAGGAAGACAATTAGAATGAAATCCCTGATCCCTGATATCAGCCCTTGATTTCACTGGAATGCAGATTCACATGCAATGCCTAATGAGGAAATTATTATTATTATTGCTGGGAATCACTTATTTGGGTTATCTCTCTGCATCTAGATAAGCAAAAAAAAATCACTAAATGGGAGACACCAGCTTTCTGGAGCCTGAGGCTCCATTAAGATTTGGGCACTTGACTTAATATTGAGTTCATGCAGACTGTCAGCTGTTCCAAAGTCAGTGTGTGCTGCTTTGTTACATAGTTCTCCACTTTTAAAATAGAAAAAGTCATTAACTGAAATAGGAAAATATCCTCTAAAATGAAAAAAAAAAAAAAACAGAAATATTAAAATCCGAATATCTAAAAATCTCAAAGAAGTCTTCAGCTAGGAATAAACCTTAGATTAAAAAGATGGGGCTTTGGGGTTTCTAAACGACTTTTAAAAATAATTGAAAAATAATTCTTAAAAATGTTTTCCTTTTGGAAAGCGAAGTGCATTGTATGTCTATGTGAAAATCTGTAAATGTGACATTTATATAAGTGTACTTATATTTTCAGTCTTCATCTGGTGTAGAGAACTCTAGGAAGGAAGCAGTTCTTTTGGCTAAAATGAAACATCCAAATATCATTGCCTATAAAGAATCGTTTGAAGGTAAATACAAAAATTTAAATTCCTTCATTTGTTTCAAGTTGCATACTCCTCAGGGATCAAGATTACTTTCTTTTTTTGTTTACAATACATGTTATAAACAAAATACACGTTTATTGTAATGTATAATACATAGCATGTAGTCGGAGCTTTATAGTAAAAAGTATTACTTACAGTAAAAAACAGTACTTATTCTACTAATGAAAATACTAACTGTTCTCAAATTACCCAAAATTTAGCTGATGGACATCTGTATACAGTGACGGAATATTGTGACGATGGAGATCTAATGCAAAAGATTAAACACTAAAGAGGAAATTTGTTCCCTGAAGATATGGTAAGAAAAGACATTGTTTTGAACCAGAGGGCCAGAAATCCTTTTTCACGTAAACTGAAGCATGCTGCATGAACCAAATTACAGATACACTAACACTGTGAGGTACCTTAAATAAATCAAAGGCACTTACGGATAGAAAAGAGAAGTTATTTCTTTTATAATTTCCAACAGAACAAGGCAAGAATTGGACTGAAAGGATTAAAAAAGGAATTGCTGCCTGTATCTGGGAATTGTGCAGATAGTGGGAAAAACAGATTCAGGTTTGTATGCAATTAAATAAGAATTTTGCAGAAACTTGAGACAGAATTTAAAGCACAGTAAGATGTACTGCAAATGAAAAGTAAACAAAGCACTCTGGCAAGATAAATTAAGCTAGCCAAGAAGCTTAATGCTTGCATTTCAGGTAGCAATTAAATGTTTAAAGTATTCAGCAGGCATTAACTCCTTTTATCAGAGTGGCTATAAAATTACTTAGGAGAAGAGTCAAAGGGACATTGAAAGCTACTTCCTGCCACAGTTAGAAGCATCACGTGGGTTAAAATGAAAGGACCAGAAGTCTCAACTAAACGAATATTCAGATTTTCTGTGCATCTTTGTATCTTTAGGAGTTTTCTTTTGTACTTTAAAAGGAGCACATTTTGTTTTAGGAACTATGTGTTAAATCCACATGGGTTTTGTTTTTGTTTTGTTGTTTGGTGGGTGGAGTTTTTTATTTGCTAATTTACTATTAAACTGTAATTAACTTGCTTATAAAATGACCATGAGATAAAATGCCTTGTAGCAACTCCCTACCTTCATTCATCATTGTTATGTATTATTACAGCTTTCTAGACACAGGTAATAGATGTTCCCTCTGCTATATTAAACATAATTTATCGTGAACTCAGTCTTTCATGCTGATGGGAGGCCATTATGTTAGAGTTACTTTTAACTTCCAAATATTCGGAACATGGTTTTCTTTTCCTAATTTTTTTTTTATCTATTAGTATTCATTACATACAGGATTGAGCTGTTATAACTACTAGTTACTCTTTTTCAGATCCTTCAGTGGTTCGTGCAGATGTGCCTGGCTGTGAAGCACATTCATGATAAACGTGTGCTGCACAGGGATATAAAATCCAAGGTGAACAGAGCAAGTTTTTGTTGCCATTAAAGGCCTCTTCTGCGTGTAAAAGTTAAACTCCCTCTTTCATAATTTCCTGTAGCAGCTAAGTTCTTTGTTTTTTATTTAGGCCTAAGAATATCATGTAAATCAAAGTGTTGAGTGCATGGGATGATGTAATATTGTGGGTGTAACCATCGTCTAAGTATACATACATACTTCATATCCTAACTGCTGGTAGCACCAATTGCTCGTGACAAACTGCATATAATTTAAAACAATAACAGAAGTATAAAAAAAGTGTATAGATTATGCCGTTTTTAAATGTCCTGCCTCACATTCTTTTCTTTGTTACTCTTTCCTATCAGAAAGAGAGAAATTCAGACGAAAGTGTGACCTTATTGGTTTGAGTACAGCACAGAGATTAAGGCAATTCTTATCTCTTGATTCTTCCTCTGCTAATGATGCTGGGGCTTCAGGCCCATATAACCTTTCCATTTCCATGGATATAGTTCTGTGTCATGGAACCAAAGAACATGACACAGTTCTTAGCCGTTTTTTGGTGGTTTTTTTGTTAGAAGTATTAGGAGAAGCAAGTAAGAGGAAATAGAAAGATAAAATACTAGACGTGATCTCCACCATGTGTTCTGTATATACAAACTGCAGAAATGATTCCTAGAAGAATAGTTCAGTATGTTAACCTATGATCTTGAAATGCAGAACATCTTCCTCACTCAAAATGGGAAAGTGAAATTGGGAGACTTTGGATCTGCACGCCTTCTTGCACAGCATGTGGACATCTCCACTGACCTCAGTGGTGTCAAGTTTTATTTTACCATTCACAAATAGTACAGAGTTCTTAAATCATGGCTTTGCACCTGGTATTTCTTCTTTGTTGTTTCAATAGCCCGATGTCATATGCTTGCACATATGTGGGAACTCCTTATTACGTACCTCCAGAAATATGGGAAAGCATGCCATACAACAACAAAAGGTACTTGTGTTTTTACTGGTCACAAATAATGCCTGACTGATGTAGGGTTTTTTAATTGCTGTCTCAATCTGTCTTGGTGGCTTATCTGGTTTTGGTTTAGAGAAGATACTGAGCTAAAGTATTTTTAGAAAGAGGCAATTACATTTTTTTTAAGATGAAAGTGCAGAAATTCCTCTTTACTTAGGTAACTGAGAGCACAATATCTTTAGTCTTAGAAATTTGAAAACTTGTGCAGACAGCTGTTTGTTTGGGAGAGTAAATATATACGTAGAAATATACACACAAATATATACCTGTCTGTGCACATACGTAGGTATGTATTTACATCTTTTGCAGGTCTTATTTTTTTTTTTTTTTGACTCGTCATATTTTTAAAGCTCTTCACGCTGGTTATAATGTAGGGATAATGGCACAAAATGGATTACTTAGATTTACGGAGCCTAGTTATTCTTATCCTAATGCAAGAACTTCTGAGAGCATCTTGATAGTACAGTTTTTACAGCTTCTTCCCAGACTCCAAAATACTAAGCCATATTATATTCCCTTCCCTAGATATATTCTGTGACCTTAGTTGTGCAAGTGGTTTTCCAGAGGAGAGAAGAAACCTTCTAGAACTTCAGTTTTTTCTGCTCCTCTTGCAAGAAAGGTATCAGTCACTTCTTGTGCAGGTGGCAGTACTCACTTTTGATGGAAAATGATGGGGTTTTTTCTCAGTAGGAGAGTTCTTATTGGCAGGACCAGAATTCCAGCTCTCAGGATTGTGTGACTGCCATCTGATGTTAGGGTCTACGGAATACAAAGGCTTCTAAGTGTGGAAGGATAACTGTTGTTGCAGCAAATTGTTTAAGAGACATCCTAGGAATAAAAAAACAACTACAACTGTATGACATTCATATTTTTTTTTTACATCAGGGTAGGATAAAGTAAGCAAAAACATTTCCACTGGAGAGAATAAATGCATAATTATATTGTCTTTTATACTTACATTTATTTTGAGTTTACTCAATTCAGTTATGTACACAGATTGAATCTCACTTTTTCAAAGCAGGATATTAAATTGTAATTTTTGGCTCAAAATTTCTCATCCTTCTCTGTGTCTGCAGTGATACATGGTCTCTGGGGTGTATTCTGTATGAGCTGTGCACTCTAAAACATCCGGTAAGTACACCTTTATTGCTATCAGAAAAGTTTTGGAATTCCTTAAAACTTAATTAGCAGTTAGCTGTACTGTAGATTGGACTGACGTATTTGCTGCTGCTTCCAAAAGAGGGAAGTATTGCTCCACCCTTCCCACACCTCCTCCACTATGTGCCTTCTGTTTTTCAGCAGTTCTTTGGACCTACTGGACCCTTCTGTAGAAGACTAAGTTTTCAAAATTGTTAGGAAACTTTCAAAAAGTTAGAAATTGGTTAACTTCCCTCAATATCAGTGATCTGGGGCTTATTAAGGAGTCCAGCAGTAGCCAGGCAGGTTCCAGGTATCTGCTGGGATGGTGCAATGAGCATTTCATTTTACAGGATCAAAATGATCACAGGAGATGGGGGCAAAGACACTCAAAATCTTTGTTAATGTGAATATATTGTGTGCAAGTATAGTGAAAGGTAGAAAGCAATAAGCAGTTTTGTACCTCGCATCAGTGATACACCTTTGCTTATTCTTCATTCACATCAAAGAAGTCACTGTGGAAGCACTGTCCTCCTATTGGAACTGTGGGAACCCTGATGTATGGTTCCATCTTTCTGTCATTCCTGGGACACTGTCTTCTACAGTGTTGATGCTATGTTTCTTATGTGTTAACATCCTCTGGCTTCTGTGTACAGACATGTGGGTAACAGAAGAGCCCTCATCAGGATATGTTTGTTTTGCAAGAAAATGAGATCCTAATTGAGGGTGATTCTGTCATAGTTTCTTAAAAGCAGCAGTTTGCTTTTGTTGAGATAATACTATACCTTCAAATCAGAGAACCACAGAATATTCTGTTTGAAAGGGACCCACAAGGTTTATCAAAGTCCAGCTCCTGACCCTGCACAGGACAGCCCCAAGAATGATACCATATGTCTCAGAGCATTGTTCAAATCCTGTATATCAGCAAAAGATTCTCCACAGCTGCAACTTCTAGCTGTGCAAGAGTGTATTGACTGAGTGATAAAGGAGCCTGTGCATAGGTGTGTGTTAGCCTAAGTAAGTCTGTGGCAAGGCTTTGGCAGTGCCATGGCTATTCAGGCAGAGCTCAGAGCTGGGATTCAAAGGAGTGGAGTATTTTTCCCTTTTTAGCAACATTGAAATGTTATGTGTCTGGTTTTATGTGATGGTCACACATGTTCTTGCATTATCTATCAGAGGTGATACAAAATGATGCTGCACACTGTGGATGCCTGGCACTCTGCAGCCAAGCCAGCAGAGTGTACCCAAAGAAAACTTCCTGCGTGGAGGTAGAAGTTCTCAAACATTTAGATTTGCAAGAGGATATTTGTGCCTTTATAGGCTATTTTTGATAATCTTTCTTAAAATCAAAGTCTTTGTATTCCCTAGCTTGCTGTTTCACTCTTACAGTTTAAATCTGATCTGAAATACATGAATTGCTGAATTTGATTCCTATAAAATAAGATTTGATTAATCCTAAATGTGTAGGAGTAACTCTCCCATCTGCTTTCCAGTTTTAAAGATTATTGTTTGCAGTGTCCATTATGATCTGGTTTTAGTCACTGTGATGTTTTCATTCTCAGTAAATTTCTGTCATTATTGACATAATTAAATGCCCATGCAACACCCCTACAAAATGTAGAGGAAAATTACCAGGGTTGTTCTTCCACACCTCTGAAACTGTCAAACTGGAAGCCAAATCAGGTGGTAGTAAGGAAGCCTACAGAAATACATACTATGCATTTTTATATAAAAAATATTAAAGCTGCTCTTAAATAATCTCGGCTTTTTTTTACCTTATGCTTAAACACTCTGTTCTCATGTTCATTTATTTTTAATGCAGTTTCAAGCCAATTGCTGGAAACATCTCATCCTTAAGATATGCAAAGGGTCCTACAGTCCACTACCATCTCACTACTCCTATGAACTTCATTACTTAATAAAACAGATGTTTAAGAGAAATCCTCAGGATCGTCCATCAGCCAGTACTATTCTTTCAAGAGGTTGCTTAACCAAACTTATAAAAAATTGTTTGCCTTCTGAGGTATGGTATGTTCTTTGTCTCTATATTTAAGCAATTTATCTAAAATTAAAATTTTAGATACTAAATCATTTTCTCTTGTAGTTTGATTAGTGTATAACTATGAAATGTGTTGTGTAGGTCCTACTCTGAAAGCCATAAGTACAGTTGCAGACTTCTCAGAAAACCGAGTTTTTAAAAGAGTTTGTTTTGAAAATTAAAGTTGAATATTGACCTGATGCAGCTTGAAATTAGGTATTGTTAGCTGTAGCAGCACTTTTGTATAGTGACTATTTTTAACAAATAATGTAACATAGAGTTTGAGGAAGTTTAAAATGTTACAGTGCCTGCATCTCTTCATATGCATTCCAGATGATAAAAGAGTTTGAGCTGGTATTAAAGGAAACGAAGAAACATGAAGGCAGTGCAGCAGGACAAAAGGGTAAGTCCTTTTGTTGATGTAGGGAATGACAAAATGACTAGGAGATGTGAGAGCTTTAAAACGGCTATAAAACATTAGTATTATATGTTCAAATCTGATTTTAATTATTTCAAAATCTAATGTTATTGAAGCTATATAGGAAATGCTTGAAGGGTGTAAATTATATTCCAATGTAAGTGGAGTGCAAAGCTGCAATGTATACATAGTTAGTCATAAGACTTGTGCTAGAAATAATTCAGTTTTGAAACAAGCAAAACTTTTAACTGTTGCATGTATTTTAAACGTGACAGTTCTTTCTTTCCCAAAATATGGTGAAGCAAGTTATGTTCACTATTTAATTTTTAGAGAGAACGTTGGATTTTTTTCTTCTGCATAAATTAAGCTACACCAAAATTTGTACACATTTAGAACTGAACAGTAGAGGGACTCCCTGTTGAGAATGAGTTCTGTTGACAGAAGTGTGAAGAAGCTATCACATAATTTTTTATTGATTGGTTCAGTAGCACTGCTGTCATTCCTCTGGAATGCCACTTTACTACAAATGTTTGCTGAAGGTGTTAACTCTTCAATCTGTTACCTAAAGTATCAGGTAGTGTCATGGCTAGTGGAAGCTCCAATAATAGGAAAGAAAATAGGGAAAGTATTCAAATATAAATACGGTATTTGTATTTTAGTAATTTAGAATGTTCTGTATGATAGAAAAGTTCTTATGAAAAATTATTAGTATACTAAACCATATATCAGCCTACTAGATTAGCTGTCATCTGTATTCAAATTGCGGTTTTCCTGAGCATTTTTCGCCACTCTAACTTTTTGATTTTTCCCTTATTTAGTTTAGTTCCAATGTGGATTTCCTTATAATCCCATCAAAATAAAAACGCAAACAAAAAAATCCTCTCTTGTTTTTCTAAGGGTTTGGATTCTGCAAAAATGTATGCGTTTTCATTTCTTCAGGGGAACATTTAGAACAGACTGTTGTGGAAACAGCATAGTCTGAACATAATTCTCACCAGATTTTAGGACCCATGTGAGATTTCAGGTGAGGAGAATTAAGTCACAGGTAGCAAAGATGTCATTTATGGGCACATTACAACACAGCCTGACTCAGCTGTACTTGGTATATTTTTAAAAATGTGTTGCCATGGGGCTTATTTTTTTTTCCTTTTCATAGACCTGTCAATCTGAGAAGTTTAATATTTGGGTACATCTTGTTTTCCCTGGGAATCTAAATAATTTATCCTTATATTGCTTCTGTTCTTAAATGTAAAAAAAATAAAACCACAAGTATGAAGTAACTGCATGTGTGCTTAGCTTCAAAAACTGAGATTGTCTGTCAAAAAAGGGCATGCAGTGTGAAATGCAGTGCAGGAATAAATACTGTGCAGTTGCAACTGGCTTCGTGGTGTCAGTGGTTTAGTTTTCAGGTCTTCAGATCTTTAGGCCAGTGATTTTATAGCAAAACTGTTATGTTAATATTATTGCTTGGTTTTTCTCGACAACAAGGATAATGATTAATGCAGTCTTTATTTTTTTAAAGTGAAGGAAAGATGAAAGTAGCAATCGTAGCCTCTTAGAAAGGAAAAATATTCCTGAGGGTTTGAATGAAGGCACAAAGGAACAAAGGAAGTCTGAGCAAGAGGGTAAGTTTTACAGTTTTAAGGCTGATGCATTTCCTTCTGTGTAGTGGTATCTACATGTCAATGATCTAGCCATTTAAACAGGTGGCACAAACAAGCCTGAAGCTATAGAAAACCTTTCCACCACCAGTTACTTCTGCAGTTACATTGATTCATGTTGCTCTTCTGAGATGTTAAAAAAATATTTAAAAACTTATCTTGGCCAAAGTATTACAAAAATTGTTTGAAAACATTTGTAATAGAGTAGATGTATAGGGAGCTCTTACCAAGTCAGATTTGTACCCATAGAATCAAACATCACTGCTAGTTAAGTGCTTTACTCTTAGTACTGCTTGGTCTGGACAGGGCAATCGGGACAGAGAATCAAATGAGATACTTGTTATCAACCTCTTTTTGTTACAATTACAATAGAAGTGTCTGCTTTCCTTGCAGGAAGTACTGATTTGTCACATGCCCACAGGAGGCAATGGGAAAAGAGGATATCTAATACTGTACTGGATGTCCTGGAAAATGCGTCCTTGCTTTCTTCCAGTTTTACACCTGAAGAGACTGAAAGTAAGATTTAATTAAATGTGGGTTTAGTTCAAGTAATATCAGTGATTCTTTATAGATTTTAAAGGCCAAAATTTTACAGGACATGTTTAAAATGATGTAAAATTAATTTTAAAATATTTTATTAACAAACAAAAAGTCCGCTGTGCTGAAGACAATTTCTTTGTGGTTTTGTGTGACAGGAGAATTGCAAAGAGCGATGAAAACCACAGATAATGCTAGGAACCCTAAAATTATAATCATGACTAGGCAATTACCATACAGTCCTCCTCTTTATATGATGTTTGTGGAGGTAAAAATGAGGAGGTAACAATGAGGAATTCATTTGATGCAGAATGCAACTGCCCATCTTTCAAGTACAGGATAGTACTGGGAGCATAAAATGTCTGTACCTCTACTTCTGTTGTCATTAACATACAGATAAGGCCAATGTCAATCACTATCAATGATGTACCTCAGATGTGAGGCAGAGATTTTTTTCTTCCACATTAGCAGCTTTTAATTAAAACACTTAACATGAGATTTCTTCTGAAAAATGTTTCTATTTTAAAATGCACCTCACTATGCAATTGTTATAATTGTTTAATGTGATTATAGATATGTACTGTAAGGAACTCTGAATAAACGCTATAGAAATAAATAGTCAAAATATGAGTAGTCAGAAAATTCCCCAGCTGTGGTAGGAATGTTGCATGATAATTATATGCACAACAAGGGAAAAGGACAGAAAAATGCATATATTTAGATGTTCTGCTATTAAAAGGCACAAAAATGGCCTCAGGCTCCATTTTGTGAGATTCAGAGAGCCACCACATAAGAGAGCAGAGACTCTGACTCCTCACACCCCTCAACCTGTTTCTGCTGGCTCCCTGGCAGTAAAAAGTTCCACTGTGACATTTCTGTAACTTTTAATGCTGACAGTGTCAACCTCAGTTTTCTGAGAGGTCAGTGGTGCTACAGATGGAAATATCTAGACTCGTCCTGTATTTCTCTCTTGAATGTTATCTTGAATGTAATCCACACTGCTAGTGTCATTTTATCTAAGTAGTATTTATTAATATTTTCTACCCAGGTGGTGGTGTTATAAACTACAGTGAAAATAAGCCACGTAAGCAGTGGAAGAAGGAAACTCCTCGGACCCTGATGAACATTCTCAGTAATGCAGAAGTCAGCCTAGCATTTAAAATATACACAATTTATAAGAGAGGTAAATCCCCAGTTTGTGGGCAAACATTATTACAAACAGGTTTATTAATAAAGACTTTTCCCTTTTTATTTTTTTTCATACATAGCCCCCATATATAGAGATTGTGCACTTGAATTCATATCACAACAGATTGGGTGTTTAAGTTATGAAATGAGTTTATGTTTTAAGATTATGAAATGTGATGTGGACTTACAAAAAGCCAGGATTAGAATTCATGACTGATTGTACCATCTCCACTACAGCTCATTATGATGGACCTTCACTTGCAGCTCAACAGCTGAATGAAGTTGTGACCAAAATGCAGATGCTGTAGAGCCAAGTGCCCTCCATCCTGCTCGGTGGCCTGGTTGTATGTGTTTGGGGGTGCAATAAGCACACTGCAGCCCCATCAGGTAAATCCACTAAGTCAGCAGTGCTCTGTTTTGAGGGCAGGATGGTAAAATGGTACAGCTGAAGACAGATGCAGTCTGTAGATGTGCACAGCCACTGCTCTTCTTGCCCACTCCTGCCTCGCCGTCCCACTCCGTGCCTCTGCTTTCCTCTCCAACAGCTCCTGCGAGGAAGGAGGATACAGTTGGGACTGAGAAGCTCCAATGCCTTCCACTGAAGGAGAGGAAACTAGGACCCAGAGGGAGCTGTCCAAGCCACCACCTGCCCACCTGCGAGACCCCCACAGAACAAAGATGCTTGTGAATAGCCTCTTGCTAGACTCATCCATCACCTAATTTGATGTTTGCTGCCTACTTACTTGCTCACTTCCCTGTACTCTGACCACACAAGGACTTGAAGGATTAATTATACTTTATTGACCAAAGTTTATCCTGTTCTTACACCCTTTCTTTTAGCCATGCATTGCCTGAATTATTGCTTAATTCATCATCTCAGAGGCAGGAATATAAGAATATCTACACCTTTCATTTCATACCTTACAACTGCCCTTATGCAAACCAGGCATCTGGAAAGCCCCAAGAGGACAACCAGAAGAGGTCCATACTGCCAGGATCCTTTAGACTGACAGACTTTGAATTTTTTTTCCAGGTATCCAAATGCATCTCTATGGTGTAATGAAACCTCTACTGTATACCTGGATGCCATTAAAAAAACTTTGCCCTCCCAAAATGAACCTCAGGGTGCTTGAGAGACTGTTTGCGGTGGTTTAGTTAAACATAAAACCTATTCGTGGGTTGTTTTCCCGCCATTTTCCCTTTCTCCCTCATGGGCTGGCAGCCTGACAGGCTCGGATACAGCTCCCTATTGGCCGGTATACCGTGTGGTACTGACCAATCCCGTTATTCCTTGTGCTGTTCTCCCCAGTTACTGCCCCCTAATGTTTATGCATCAACTGTTGTCCTATCATTGTGAGCGGATTTGCATGCTCCGCCCAAGTCACGCCCCTTTTCCAGAATGTTCTACCTCCGAGGGTATAAAAGTCCTCCATTTTGTTAAGCATGTTGGACCAGTTTTTGGCTGTGGAGGTGTTCGCGTCTTGTGTGTGTGTGTCTCTTTCCTGGGGCTCTGCGTGGTAGTGGACTATACCTGCCAACACTTGCTGCTGCTGCCGCCTTACCATCTGCAGGTAAGGCAAGAACCCCCCGTCGCTGGTCCGGTCCTTTCCCTGAACCAGAAACTGTGACAGAGGGGCAACTGGCTGCCCAGAGTGTCACTGAGGGGCTTTGAGGCTCACAGAGGAAGAGGTGGGTGTTCCATATATCACTGAGGAAGAAGTGTGTCTCCTGTGTTTCTGAGGGGTTTGTGAGGGTGACCTGAGGGTGAAGAGGGTCCCTTGAGGGGCTGTGAGTTGCTGAGGGGAAAGCAGGTGCACCCTCTTTGTTGCTGAGAGTCACTGAGGATCACTGAGGGACAAATGGGTGCCACGAGGGTCTCTGAGAGAGAGGTGGGTGTCCCGTGTATCACTGAGGGGAAGTGGGTGCTTTATGTGTTACTGAGGGGAAGGTGGGTTTCCCACATGCTGCCGAGGGGGGAGGCAGGTGCCCGGTGTGTCCCAGAGAAACTTTTGAGGGGGAAGAGGGTGCCCTGAGGGGAAGGCAGATGAGTCGTGTGTCGCTGAGGGGCTGTGAGGGACACAGGGCGAAAAGGATGCCCTGAAGGATTACCGGGAAGCTGTGAGAAATACCTCAAATTAAAATTTCGTAGACAGCCAAATAAAGCGAAACAAAGAACTTTATTTTCAGCACGCGCTGGGTGCGGTCAGGTTTGCCTCGTGCCACGACCCGAGAGCATCACTGGGAGAGGGGGGCAGTTCTTTTAAGATCTCTCGATTTGCATAACTGTTCCCTCGTCCCTCCCATGCTCAGCTCTGCTCCCTTTCTTCCTTTAAAGGTAATATATCCTTTTCTTGAGC